ACCATGCACTTGTATGTAGTGCTTTTCTAGATTTTGCTAGTAAGAAATCATGTTGTGAATGCTACAACTACAATTCATGAGAGCTTGCTGAACACGAGCTATTTCCTCTTCTTGCCCAGGTGCTTTTAACCACTGTCACTTCTTCTTGTTCTTGTCTCATCTTGTTGTTCTTTTTTGTAAACATTAAATTCCATTTCCGAGCATGCCTGATTCACTTTCTAGGTTCCATTTTGGGTATTATTTGGAGTTATATGTAGTAAGAGGAGTTTGATGGCTGTCAACTTATATGAATTTCACAAAGAGATCCAATGTACTTTCAATTTGTGTTGATGTGTCTGTATTATGATAGAATAGAACTACACTCAAGGTGAACTCGAGAGCTACCTGATCTCTTCCCAGACAGTCCTTAACAAAATAGCGAAAAGGTTACCCCTTCCTTCACTACTCGGATGTATATACCCTATTTACAAAATACTMATTTTACCTCCATTAGGACCATAACTAGTACTAGGGGCCCACTCACTTCACGGACTCACCTCTCATACACTGCACTCCTTGGCCTCTCTTTCTGACATGTACTTTCTTACTCAGGCCTATCATATTCTTTCTTTGGTCCTAGTAAGGTTATGGTTAGCACATTTTGACGCACCACCGGCGTGCAGCCTTTGGCCTTCATGCTGCACGGTGCAAAGCTAGATGTCGCTGCCACAYCCTACTTTCCTGTCGGATCAAATATACACCATGCCCCTCCATTGAGCGAGGAAGTAGGGTGGCATGTCAAGTCAAACTCGAGGTGGGCTTGCTTTGACCATGCCTGAGTATTTGCTCCCTCAGTCTTAGAAAGACAAAAGAAGCGGGTTGAGATTAGCACATTGGATTCATTTAATGCAAGTAACTAATAGCAAGAATGGGGGAGTGGGCGAGTAGCTCTGAGCATTCAGTGCTGTCCAAAACTGGTAGGGATCAGATATTCAGATTGCTTGTTGGTTCAGCATGACTAAGTAAATAGGGTTTGGTAAATATAGAACATGATGTTTTCGTTTAGTTATTCATATTCTTTTCTCCCCAAGTATCCTTTTCTGGGACCTTTGTGAAGTTTACATTTCCTGTCAAGTGAACTGTATAGACAGTGGTAGTGTTCTCCATCCTTTTTATGATTTAGCTATAACCTGCTTTTTTTTTTTTGTGAATTTTTTTCTGAATCATGAAGTTCTGAAATTCATTGAATTTTTCTTATGACTGATCCATTTTTCAACTATTAGCTTAAGTTGTTAAGAAGCGCCCTGTACACCACCATGCTAAAAAAATGGGCAAGGACATTTTGACGCTGCAACATAGTTGACTTTACAGAACTTGATAATTATGGAGGACTGGTGAAAACTCTATATATTTCTTATAGGAATGCCCTTGGGGTAATTAGGAATAGTAATTATGGTAGGAAGGATATATTAGTTATTAGCCAAGTTATTGGTTATAAATAGAGGGGTGGTATGAGATGAAGGTAGGCATTGATTTAGTTGGTTTAGGATCGAGCAATCTCGAGAGAGGGAGGGTTCAAGTACTTTAAAACACTTGGTAGTATCTTGGTGTATTTTGTTCAAAGTTTTCTTTAAAAAAAGAAATTTTCTCTGGGAAAAAATATCAATCTAAGAACCTCTTTTCTTCTCCTTTCTCTGTTTCCCTATTCAAAAGAAATCAATCCTCTTATGCAAGGGAGAGGAAACTTGGAGAGAAAGGAAGGGAAGAGCTCTCTCTGTATGTTTGAGATAGGGAGAGTGAAAGAGTGAAAAATTAATGGGAGTGGGGGAGAATATGGGAGAGGAAGAGAGAAGGGAATAAAAGAAGAAAAAAATACCTTTGTTGCYGAGCACGAGAGAGAGATTGATAAGGAAGAAAGTGAGAGAGAATTTGGAGGAAGAATGAGAGGAGAGAGACAGAGAAATCAGTGGGAGAGAGTGAGAATGTACAATGGGAGAATGTGGAGAAGGGAGAATGGAGAGAAAAAAATAAATCGTTGAGAACGTGAGAGAATGAGAGAAAATTACGTAGAATTGGGAGAGTTGGGAGATAAGGAGTGAAAATGGAAAAATGGGAGAGATTTAGCTGAAATGTGTTTAGGAAAGATATTTTTGAAATTTTTTCTTAATCTCAAATTTCAAACTTCATTTATCAATGAAATTTCATGCTATCAATGAAATTTGTTTCCTATCCCAACAAAAAAAAAACTTCATTTATCCACTCAATTATAGTTTTGTTTTTTTCTTATTCTTTTTTTGATTTTACATTTAACTCACAACAAATGATTATTTTGAAATAATAAAAATAAAAATGACTTGGACAATGTTATCTACAAGATACATTTCACTCCTAATTCGTATAAAAGAAATGGTATTCCTGGTGCCACACCCATCTGTATTTTCTAACTTCTTTTCATTATACTAAATACTAATTCACCACTTATTTTTCCATGTCAAGTTAGCTATGCATTTACTTCAATGAAGTACTAAAGATATATGTGCTTTTGAAACAGTATGTGCCGCCGTGCTGACATGGGTTATGGGCCAGCGCTATTTGCAGACTTCTAAGATCATGCCAGCTGGAGTTGTGGCCGGAATCAGGTTACTAGATCTACTTCTAAATTCATGTCAAGAATTTCTTTTAAACRAAAGTGAACCTTTTCTTCTGCTGTTGATTATATCTTGATCGGAGAAAACATAGGGATGCTGCTGTTTATATTATAGTATAGTTCTAAGCTGGTACCTGGTTAATCCAAACGTTACTTTCCATATCTGGTCTGCATATCGTTACGATTTGAACGAAATCTTGTCGAATCAAACTAGGAGAAAGATGATTTCTTACTGTAGGAATACTATAAATGTTAAATATATGTTTCAGTCCCTCACGTTGGGGTATTTTTTCAACTTAGTGCCTATTGTTTAGAAGATTCCAATTTAGTCCTCTATGTTTTAACCTTTCTAAATTATACTTTTTCAATTAGTATATGTTAAAATTGGTTGATGATAAGTTTATASGGCATGATGCTTAATAAGTTGGCAGCCATTGGCAAAAAATTAAATGTGGAAGTAGGCCACTTAAACTTCTTAGAAATTTGGAGAAATCATAATCTTTTCTTCTTCAGGAAGYCTAATTACCTTTCTAAATTTTTGCCTAACTCATGAGTCTCGTGTCATGCAAGTTTATCATTTATCAATTTTAACATTCACCAACGAAATGAGAATAATTAGAAAATGTTAAAATGTGAGGGACTAAATTGAAATTTTTTAAATAACGGGATCAAATCAGAAAAACACCCCAAGATTGTAATTTCGGATCATCTGGTTTTCTTGTATGACATGACAACATCAATATTGTAAGTTCTTGGAGCTAATACACATTTTACACTTTCTTTTTTGCTATTCTTGCAGTTCTCTAATGACTGTATTTTACCTGTACAAGCTGGCATCTGGTGGCAACCATATTTCTCCCAAGGCCGAGTAATGATTCCACCGATTACTTCTTTCGATATTTGATATAGGAAATGTATCGGATCACACGAAAAACTTGAACGATGTTTTATATGCTGATGATTGCTGTTATTGCTAACCTTGCAAACTTGGACATGTAAACCAAATGGCCATTATTGAATATAAACAGTTGGGGTTAAAGTTTTTCAGAGTTCTTATTACAAATATATCGTATCGTGTTCTTGGCCGAGCTCGCTCGGTTACTGTCCTTTTACATGTGCAGTTTCGTAGGAATCAAGTTTTGCTGAGAAAACTTTGGATTCTGTTACAGATTTTTTGTTTGTTCTCATCATCTCTGTTATCAACTTCTGTCCAATGATGTACAACTGAAACAAACTTACAGGTAACTGAAGAACAATCTTGCTGACATTTGGAAATTTATATTTACAAGGGTTTTTTTGGTATTATTTTAATTGTCTTCTCCAAATGGWMAGAGGTTGCAACAAAACAATTTTTGGGGTCATTGAATTGGTGGGAATAAATACAACAAGAGAATCTATTTAGATGGGTAAGAATCAAGGATAATAGTATTTGTTTGTGAGGGTTTTGTGCAAGGATAAAAAAAATATATAAATATATTAAAGTTTTATTTTATAACGTTTTCATTTTTTGTTTCTCGACCTGTTCCAAAAGTGAATTTGAGGTAACATTTTTTTGGTACAAAAATAGATRGTATAGAAATTTCAACTCATGACCTTTTGATCTATGCTTTAATTGGTTGAATTATGATCAAGTCGAAGAGTTTAAGATAACTTTTGAGAGCATTGTTTTTTAGGTAAGGTATTTTCTATAAGTATTGAAAATGTCTTAATGATAAGTACTYTAAAGATCAACTTGAATGTAACTGGTTAAGGTATATATCATCGAATAMAAAGTCGGAGTACSCACTTCACATATTGTTCAACTAAAAAAAATAATTACTTTAAAAGTATTTTTAAAAATTATAAAAATATTTTTAACCATGTGAATCTTAAAATTTTGATGAGTGATTTTAGTTGGGTAAAACCTATGTGATTAAAATTTTTTTGGTAGTATACTAAAATATTCCTTACATGGGAAAGAATCATRATCATATGAATATAGATGTTTGTTTATATATAGATGCTTATCAAGTAAACACCCAAGATGCCCTCAAAACATGCATGACCACTTGTGAGTTAAAAAGGAATCTAAGGTGTTAAAAATGTAACCGTCGAAGTTTTGATTCGATGGAAATGTCGATGTTGATGGATATTTTGAAAAAAAAATCACGAAAATTTTAAAATTGATGGTGTTTGATCCAAAAAGACCATGCTCGGAATYCTTGTAGATCGGAGCGCACGGGATGATCTTCCTAACCCTCCGAAGAACCTGCAAAACAAGGTTAGCACTCCAACGAGCAAGTTAGCTCTTATCTGATCTAATTCAATGAATGCAAATGGATTCGCGTACCTTGTACCAAGAGCAGACATCTCTATTTATCGAAATTGGATCTGACAGGAGTCCCGACATGGGGCTAACGATCGTCCKACCGTCCGTAGAACACRGCTTGTTATCRGAKTTTAGAGACATTTCCTTGAATGCACCTCCAGCTCGGCTTGAATCCTTTAAATAGACCAATGGGAGACAATAGGTAGCTCGGCTCGTGCCTCGGTTTCCGACTTGAAAGGACTTAAACAGATTATTATAATCTAAATAGGTTTTAATCCAAGTACCTCCATGATGACACGTGGCCGCAAAAATCTGCCTCCAACGTATGAAAATTGTTTGAATTAGCAAATGAAACTTTAATGGTAGTTTAATTAGGCCATAATTAATCACTTTTAACCCTCCTATGAAAATTATGAATAACTTACCTAAAACAAGATAATAAAGATGGATAGAAATTAGTTGAATTTTGTTTAATCAGATGTTTGATTGGTAACTTATAATTACATCTAGATATAAAATAATTTTGTCTAGATACGTACACATATATATATAATTTTGTCTCACATTGGATATGACAAACCGCTTGTAAAAGGTAAATATCTCCCGTGTGGCAAAATTGTGAGTTTGTTTTTTTCATTTTTGTAATTTAGCCTTTTTTTTTCCCTTCCTTTTTAATCAGAGTTCGTATATATAGCATCATTCAAATTCAAACCATGTGTGAATTGAAGCAAACACAATTCTTGTGTTCCCAAAAGCAAAATCATGAACATTTACCTCACAATCTTCTCTTTTCTAATCCCAATCTTCCTGTTTCTTACCAGAGGAAGAAGATCAAGATCATCCCAAAAGCTTCCTCCGGGATCCCTCGGAGTTCCCTTCATCGGCCAAAGCCTCGGCCTCCTTCGCGCCATGCGCTCCAACACGGCCGAACAATGGCTGCAGCGCAGAATCACGAAGTACGGGCCCATTTCGAAGCTAACCCTCTTCGGAAAACCCACAGTGTTAGTCGGCGGGCAGGGCGCCAACAAGTTGATTTTCAATGGCGACACCGCAATTTCGAACCAGCAGAATGAGTCTCTTAGGGCGATTTTGGGCGAGAGCAATTTGTTGGAGCTGACTGGAGATGATCACAAGCGTGTGAGAAGTGCGCTTGTTTAGTTCTTGAAGCCTGAATGTTTGAAGCAATATGTGGGGAAAATGGATGAAGAAGTCAGGAGACATCTCGAGATGCATTGGCAGSGCAAGCAAGAGGTCACTGTGAGTCACTCCCAACAGAATTTCTATTTGTTTGCATAAACTGGCTGGAAGGCTTTAGTAATTAGGTGCTCAATAAATTTTATTGAACTTCGGTTCTACCCAGAAAATCTTCTACTTGAACTAACTTCACACAGTTTATTTAGTAGGTAGTGATTGTTTGACAAGAATTGATATGCATAGGTTTAGTGTTTGGTAATGTTTTTCGCTTCTTGTTTCTTTACTTTTTAAGTATGAGATACGAAAAACAAAGGACAATTACCAAACACATAAGTTTCTTAGAAACTGGAACAAGAAACGAGAAACAGGATATCTGATAGCACCTAAACTAACAAAAGATGTCCCATCACCTTAAGCTTTCCTCTTTGGTATGCGGGTTTAGGTAGAAGAAATCTTAGAGAAGATGCTCTTGTCTCATGGCCTCTCAGAGGTGTCCTCTAATTATCCTTTTATTTTGATGGACTAAGCTATAGATTTGAACAAAAAGAAAATGAAGACTAGATTCTTTCTTTCACAGCTAATCATGAGAAGTGTGTGATTGCCTTTTAGGTAATATATGAATTATGCTTGAAGTTACTGAACAGAATTTTGTCAATTGAGTTGTTGTTTCATATGCAAATAGGTACTGCCATTGATGAAGACTCTCACCTTCAACATTGTATGCTCTCTTCTCTTTGGTCTTGAGGAAGGTACAAGAAGGGAAAGAATGATAGAATGCTTTCAAGTAATGATAGGAGGGGTATGGTCGATCCCGATAAACTTGCCGTTCACGAGGTACAACCAAAGCCGACAGGCAAGTATAAAAATTCAAGAGATGCTAAAGAACCTCTTGGATGAAAAGAGAGTGGAACTGGAAGTAAAGGGCACTTCCCCACACCAAGATCTAATTACTTGTCTGCTTAGCATAAAAAACAAAGAACATGAACAAGTATTGACTGAGAAGGAAATCATTCACAATATAATACTGGTAATGGTTGCTGGATACGATACATCATCTGTTCTGATTACATTTATGGTGCGGTTTTTGGCAAATAATCCAACTGTTTATGCTGCTGTTCTTCAAGGTATGCTTGAAATTATCTCTCAAACTGTCAATATGACCACGAGCTTATAATCATCTTAGTTTTAAAATGTGGAGACTATAATTCTATTTTTTGTAGAAACCCATAGAAATTCCTGTTTAAGAATAAATAACAGAAGTAAACCCAAATCAGAAATTTGATAAATTAATCTTGAAATAAGAAACAGTAGAAATGAAGTCAGAAATCAGTAAAGGAACTCTAGATAGTAAATGGCTTAACCCATTGATAGGCTAGAAAATAGGAAGGGCTTCTAACTTGAAGCACACAAAATTGAGAAGATGGGAAAATCATAACATTATCTGGTTTCTTATGGTCTGTGGTTACAGAACAGGAAGAGATAGCAAGAAGCAAGGAATGTGGAGAGCTGCTCACTTGGGAAGATCTTGCCAAGATGAAATACACATGGAGAGTTGCATTAGAGACTTTAAGACTAGTGGCACCTGTATTTGGAGGGTTTAGAAAGGCTATGAAAGATATTGAATTTGGTGGCTACCTTATTCCTAAAGGATGGCAAGTAAGTTCGGTTTTCTTCTTTTTTATTTAGGTTGAAAAAACATGTGAAAATATTTATCTTACAACAATTGGATTTCAGATATTCTGGGCATCACCAATGACCCATTTGGATGATACCATATTTGAAGAACCACTAAAGTTCGATCCCAATAGGTTTGAGAATCAAGCATCGGTTCCAMCATATTGCTTCGTTGCTTTTGGTGGGGGTCCAAGAATTTGTCCAGGCTATGAGTTTGCGAGGGTCGAAACTCTTGTTACAATCCATTACTTAATCACCCAGTTCACATGGAAGCTACTCTTAGATGACCTTTTTATTAGAGATCCAATGCCAGTTCCTACCAAAGGATTACCTATCAAAGTTTGTCCCAGAGAAACTTCCATGACATTGTAGCTTCTGGACTAATGGAAATCATAATTAAGAATGAAGCGGAAAATGGGAGTTATGGTAATGCCTACATTTGTGCACATTTTTAGAATATCAACACTTGAAAGAGTGAGAACAGATTTTTGAAAGACAAATATATAAAGAAAGAAAAATCTATGGAAGGACTTGTATGTTATATATAGTGTGTTTAGGAGGTTGAAGAACTCAGATTAAACTCTTACCACTGCAGAATATGTAAATGTTAATACTTGTTGCTCAAGGTCATGAATTATGATCATTGAGAAGCCAGTACTTCTAGATGGGCAAAAGAAGACATGTAAAAGTGAACTGAACATAGAAATTCACATAAGTTGGAGAATTTAAATTGCTTTTTAAAATAATAATTGAAAGTTTAAGGATAAAAATCAAAATTCTGGAAGTTAAGGGACCAAAATAAAATGGATGTAAGATTTCAAAGATCAAAATCATATTTAAACTTAAATAACAGTCACTGACTAAATGTCAAAAGCTTGTTCCTACTTCCTTGTAATTTCCTTCAACCTCTACACGCATTCAGTCCTATTCATCCTCCCTCTAGTTAATTATTGTATGAAATCTAAATACATGAACTACAACAATCACTAAATTCCAACCAATGGAAACAAACGTGCAAACTGATGAACAGATTTRCTGACTTTTGCACTTGTTGTCATATAGAAGACAAATATAAACATTAAACAGACAACTTAGTTTATTTGTTGTTGGGATGTTGATATTGCATTGACTTCATATATACACACATAAGCACTATGCCAGATAAAAAGAAGAAGAAAGAAAGAAAGAAAAAGACACAAAAGAAGAACAATTCAACAACAAGAAGTAAAGTAAGCCAACATGTTATGAATTTGGAACAACAATTGCGACAAATAAACAGTGAGACAAACAGGTATGTTAGACATTATCTGTTAGAGACAGCATATAATTAAAGGTTCTGAGATGTCCTTTCAAACTCTCTCACTCTAAACTCATCTAGTCATCTCTTTCTCACCCTGATACCAACAAAGATCATGATTGCCATCTTTGTGTTACTCATCACCATCTTCCTCTTTCTCAGTAACAGAAGAAGATCCTCCAAAAGGCTTCCTCCAGGGTCACTCGGAATCCCCTTCATTGGCCAAAGCCTTGGCCTCCTTCGTGCCATGCGCACCAACTCTGCAGAAGAATGCTGCTGCACAGGATTGCAAAGTATGGACCAATTTCCAAGTTGACTCTATTTGGAAAGCCTACAGTTTTCATTCGTGGGCAGGCTGCAAACAAGTTCATCTTCTCCAGTGACGACCGTATGATTTCCAACCAGCAAACGAAGTCTCTTAAGATGATATTGGGGGAACGTAATCTGACAGAACTAAGTGGGGACGATTACAAGCGTGTGAGAGGTGCACTTGTTTCATTCTTGAAGCCTGAATCTTTGAGGCAGTATGTGGGATAAATGGATGAGGAAGTCAGGAGACATCTCAAGATGCATTGGCAGGGCAAGCAAGAGGTCACTGTAAGTGATTGCCCCCAAAATTTCTCTAAGTTGTACATTAAATTAAGCGCATTAAAATTATTTATAGTGTTTGCTTTTAACTTAAAGCTGTAGTCTATATGAGATTTATCTTGCATAAACTGACTGTAGGACTTAGGCAGGTCATCCTTAGTTGATGGGGACCTAGTCAGTAGGTGCCCAATAAATTGGATTTTACTTTGGATCTACTCTGAAAACCTTCTTGTTGAACTAACTTGGGTTGATCAAGTTGCACTTAATTTAGTAGGGAATGATTGTTTGTCAAGAATTGTTTTGATTGGCACAATATTTTGTGTGACTTGAAAAAATGATGAATAAAAAGAATGTGCCATCACCTCCAGCTCTTTCTTCTCTAAGCTATGAATATGAAGAAAGAAATGAATGTTAGGTTCTTTCTTTAGCTAACTTTGGGAAGTTCATACTTCAAAGTTTCATTGAGCTCTAAGAATAAAATGTGTGATTGCCTTTTTAGGTTGTAGTTGTATTTGAATTATGCTCAAAGTGAAGGACAACATTTTATATCAACTAAGTTGTTGTTCCATATGCAAACAGGTATTGCCATTGATGAGGACTCTCACCTTCAACATTGTATCCTCTCTTCTCTTTGGTCTTGAGCACGGTACAAGAAGAGAAAAATTGATAGAATGCTTTCAAGTAATGGTACGAGGAATGTGGTCGATCCCGATAAACTTGCCATTCACAAGGTACAACCGTAGCCGATGGGCAAGTTTGAGAATCCAAGAAATGCTGAAGGAACTCTTGGATGAAAAGAGGGTGGAAGTAGAAAAAAGGGTGCTTCCCCTCACCAAGATCTAATTACTTGTTTGCTTGGCATAAAAAATAAAGAAAATGAACAAGTATTGACTGAGAAGGAAATTATTCACAATAGTTTGTTGGYAATGGTTGCTGGATATGATACTTCATCTGTTCTTATTACATTCATGGTGCGGCTTTTGGCTAATAATCCAACCATTCATGCAGCTGTTCTTCAAGGTATGCTTTTAAGTTCTAACTCTCTTAAATTTTCAATTTTACTCTGAGCTCATTATCATGTTAGCCTTAAAATGCAGAGAAAGTAATTTTATGTTTAGTAGAAACCCAAAGAAATACTGTCTGGAAATGGATAAAAGAAACAAACCGAGATCAAGAAATTGGTATGCCAAAATGAAAAACAGAAACTCGATAACTCTAGATAGATAATAAGAGACTCATGCATTGCTATATAAAAACCTGAAAGGACTTCAACTTCTAACTCGAATCATATAGACTCGAGAAGACGAGCGAAAGTTAACATTATCGGGTTGCTTGTGGTCTGTGGTCACAGAACAGGAAGAGATCGCAGGAAGTAAGAAATGTGGAGAGTTGCTCACTTGGGAAGATCTTGCCAAGATGAAGTACACATGGAGTGTTGCATTAGAGACCTTGAGACTAGTGGCACCTATCTTTGGAGGATTCAGAAGGGCTCTGAAAGATATTGAATTTGGTGGCTACCTTATTCCCAAAGGATGGCAAGTAAGCAGAGTTTTCTTTCTTTCTTCTTTTGGTTGAACAAACATGTGAAAATATTCATCCAACAATAATTCAAATGGATTTTCAGATATTCTGGGCAGCACCAATGACTCAACTGGATGGTACAATATTCGAAGAACCACTTAAGTTCGACCCGAGTAGATTCGAGAATCAGGCATCGATTCCACCGTATTGCTTCGTTGCATTTGGCGGGGGTCCAAGAATTTGTCCTGGATACGAGTTTGGAAGGGTTGAAACTCTTGTTACCATCCATTACTTGATCACTCAGTTCACATGGAAGCTACTTTCAGATGAGCTTTTTATCAGAGATCCAATGCCAATTCCTACCAAAGAATTGCCTATCAAAATTTTTGCTACAGAAACTTCCATTTCATTGTAGTATTTGTACAAGAGAATCGTAATTAAGAATGGTGCAGCAAATGCTGGAAATGGTGCCTTGGTTTTGGCAATGTAATTGTCCACATCTTTACAAGCTCAATACATAGAATTACTAATTTATATTCTATCTGGTAGTTTTTTTTTTTCCTTACTCTTGTTTAGTACGGGGATTCAAACTCACGATCTTTTTAGTCGAATATAGGTGTTTTAACCTATTGAACAATGAGATATATTCAAGTTGCGTGCTCAGTACAATTTTATAGTATTTGTATAAATAACCACTTCTAAAAGATTAAATTCTCAAAAAATGTTGGAGAAGAAAGTTATTAACACAACACTTACCAAATCATCTCAACTTTATAAAATACCTAAACAATAAAGGTAATAGTCCAAAAAAAAAAATACCTAAACAATAAAGGTAATAGTCCCAAAAAAAAATACCTAGTATGAAAATATTAAAAATTTTAAATTAGTTGAAATTACAATAAATGATTGCAATTTTTCTACCCTATTTTTTAATACTATTCAAACTACATTATCATGGTCAARGCAAACAAAACTCGGTAATTGACATATACCTCAAACCAAGAGGTTGTGAGTTCGAATTTCCTACCAACATGTTGTATAAAAAAAACCCACATTATTATGTCATTTAAAAAAAATACAATCTCTAGTGATTTTTCGAGCATTATTCTCGAAATAAGTTTTGGGAAACTTATATTTTGTAAATAAGTTAACATTATTAAAAGGAAAAAAAAATCCCCCAACGTAGTTTTATGAACTAAAATACAATTAAAATAAAAAAGTTAAAGACCTCAAAACACTAGAATCATATTTAAACAAAAAAAAAATGCATTGTAATATTTTTCAATCTGTCTATGGTTGCCATATGGATCCCAATAAAATACTTCAGCTTCATTTTCTTTTCTACAAAGTCTTTGAATCAAACCAATAAACCACTTTTGCTGACTTTTGCACTTACATCATATTATCAATATAATAATCCGTTGCAAAAAATAAATAAATAAATAAATAAACTTAGTGTATGCTTTATCAAAATAAATAATAATAATAACAATAATAAACTTATTGTACGCCGGCAACCAAAAATAAAAAAATAAAAAAATCGGCAAGAAGAATCCACTGAAGAAACCCAATATTCTATAATGGTTAAATTATCCATTTCATTTTAAGCTTATAAAAAATTTGGTAAACCTTTATTAACACACCTTAAAATTTCTCTTTTAATTCACCATCTTTTGCTCAAACCCTAAACCTAATATAGTCATTTTAAACCCAAAGCCAAAATTTATCATTTGATAAACAATTCTTAGACATTTCTTGACCTAGATAATTTCAAAAATTGGCGTCGCTCGGACTCGAACTAGAGACCTTCAAGTTAGACTGACGTGATAACCAACTACACCACGACACCAGATGCAAATCAAATGTAAAGAATATTATTCAATTAATAAAACTAATAATATTTAAGTATTTACTAATATATGGATATTATTAGATTAATAAAACTACTAAGTTTCTGACAAGAGGGAGAAGAATGCAAAAAATAATAGTGAACGAGAGACTTTCTTAAAAATATATATACATGACATTACAAAAATTTACTTGTGATAATTAAGTTAGAAATTTMTTTAGTTCCAGAGACGTTTGGTTCATTTTTTATTCTTAGGTTCAAATAAGATTGAGGTGTTTACTGATAGATATAATATCTCTTGCTTACCACCATACAAAAATTGACAACGAAAAAAGATGAATGTATAAATAGAGAGACTATATTTTTTTTCTTTTCAAAAAGTAGCTGTCAAAAGTTTAACTGCAATAAGTAAGAAGATACCTTAGCACCAGATTGTTCTGAGGTTGCTGATCCATCACTGATAATTAATATACTTCAATTTCATACCTATAGACCCAAATTTGTAATTTCATGCGATAAGTAAGAAGATACCTTAGCACCAAATTGTTCTGAGGTTGCTGATCCATCAGTGATAATTAATATACTTCAATTTCATACCTATAGACCCAAATTTGTAATTTCATGCAATAAGTAAGAAGATACCTTAGCACCAGATTGTTTTGAGGTTGCTGATCCATCACTGATAATTAATATACTTCAATTTCATTTTCATACCTATAGACCCAAATTTGTAATTTCAAACCCAATTTATGGATTTGTTAACAACAAAACAAAAACAAACCATCCCCAATAAATAGTGATAGCTAGATAGAGAGGCAATCAAACAAACATATCCCATAGACATTACTTATCTCTCCCACTCTAAAACAAAACAAAACAAAAATCCCATCATCTTCTCTCTCTCCAAAATCCAACCATGATCATCCCCATGTTCTTCCTCTTCCTCCTCACCATCTTCTTCCTCTTCCTCACAACCAGAAGAACAAGATCCTCCAGGCTTCCTCCTGGTCCACTTGGCCTCCCCTACATAGGCCAGAGCCTCGGCCTCCTCCGGGCCATGCGGAGCAACTCGGCAGAGCAATGGTTGCTCCGTCGAGTGGCGAAGTATGGCCCGGTGTCAAAGATGACCCTGTTCGGGAAGCCGACCGTGTTCATCCACGGGACGGTGGCGAACAAGGCGGTGTTCACCGGAGAAGAGGGGGCGATGTCGAACCAGCAGACGGAATCGCTGAAGAGAATTCTGGGGGAGAGGAACCTGACGGAGCTGAGTGGAGAGGACCATAAGAGGGTGAGAGGAGCACTGGTTTCGTTCTTGAAGCCTGACTCCTTGAAGAAATATGTGGGGAAGATGGATGGAGAGATTAGAAAGCATCTTCAAATGTATTGGCATGACAATAAAGAAGTTACTGTAAGCTCTACCTCTCTCTCCCTAGTCAACACCGTTAAAATTTTGACAACTATTTAAGTTCTATTATATTTCGTTGTTAAAGTAACTCATAAGATATTAAATCTTACATAGATGACTATCATGATTAGAATGATTTTGACAACTCTTTAAGTTCTATTATATTTCGTTGTTAAAGTAACTCATAAGATATTAAATCTTACATAGATGACTATCATGATTTGAATTCATTCTCTCTCTCTCTGCTCCCTGTGGTTCTTATTGACCATTAGACCAAATTATGGTGATTCTATTTGATTAATCATTTTGTTTTTTGTCATTGATAATTTAAGCCTATGAATATTCCTTTCACATGTGTTTTTTGTTTTGTTAAGCCAAGTTTTGAAAATTAGAAAAAATAGTTTAAAAATATATATTTTTAAAAATTTGACTAAGAGCTTAATTTGGTGTGTATTTACTCATTGTACAACACAAAAATTTATGACAAATTTCAATCTATGTATAGCATAAGTTTAATATGCAAAAAAAACACATGCAGGTATTGCCACTGATGAAAATCCTGACCTTTGACATCATATGCTCTCTCCTCTTTGGCATTGAAGAGGGACCAAGAAGAAAGAGCATGGTAGGATGCTTCAAAACAATGGTGGATGGCATCTGGTCTGTTCCAATCAACCTTCCATTTACAAGGTACAGCCACAGCCTGAAAGCAAGTGCAAAAGTTCAACAGATGCTCAAGCAACTTCTGAAAGAAAAGAGAGAGAAAATGGAAAAAGAAGATCAAGAAGAAGAGCAACAAGATCTAGTCACTTGCTTGCTTAGCATGAAAAACAAAGACAAAGAACAAGCCCTGAGTGAGGACGAGATTGTGCACAATATCATCATTCTAATGGTGGCTGGCCATGACACTACAACTATTTTGATTACTCTCATGATCAGGGTTTTGGGCTCTAACCCAGCTGTTTATGCAGCTGTTCTTCAAGGTATGCATATTAAAATTTTGTATATTCTTATGGGTGTTTGGCAGTCGAAGCTGATCTAAGTTGGGTTTATAAGATTGTTTGAGTTATCATAGTTTAAGTAAGTTGAGCCTAATAACACACTAGTTTACGTCCMTAAGGGATAGTTTGGGTGGCTTGGGGCCTCAAGGAATAACCTTGAGGTCCTGGGTTCAAACCATATAGGATGCAACTTCCACCAAGCAATGACTCGTTACGTATGTTTGGGTATGGAGACAACTAGTTTACGTATAAAATAATGATGAGTAAATTCAATACTAATCGTTAGAGTCAAAAACTGGTTGAGTTGGGTTATATCACTTTGTTTCTATTGATAAGGGAATTCAACAAAGTTGAACTAACCACCTTCTACGCATGATAAAGAATATACTTTAAGCATATATGTTCCATTTGATCAGTTATCACAGTACTGTAGAGTTCAGTTAGATTCATTCTCACCTTGTTAAAAGTGATTTACAACTCCGAGTAATTAGGTTGAGTCCATATATATATATATATATGTTGTTTATGTACTCTCTTGTGGTTGAAGAGCATGAAGAAATAGCTAGAAGCAAAGAACGTGGGGAGCCACTCAGTTGGGAAGATGTTGGCAAGATGAAGTACACATGGAGGGTAGCATTGGAGACCTTGAGACTTTTCCCACCTGTATTTGGAGGGTTTAGAGTAGCTCTTAGAGACATTGAATTTGGTGGATACACAATCCCAAAAGGATGGCAAGTAAGCAAAAACTTTACTCTTCTCATATCTAGATTTTGTTTTAGTACTAAATTTGGAGGTTTTCCTAAACTTAGCGTGAAATGCACTCTAAACGCTTAAATCTTATAAAGTCACATGTAACAGGTTAAGTTTTTTCTTTTGTTGTTTTGAAACCTGTGAGAGTCCTAGTAAGGATAGTTTAGGAATATTATTAGTATATTAGTGGTATATTAGTGGGAGTATATTATGGTAATTAGTTAAGGGTGAGTTGTTATAAATAAGGGTGGTAGGGAGAGGAGAAGGTTTATCTTGGAGAATAGTATTGTGTTGAGGAACTTGAGAGAGTTCTTTGGGAGGGAGATAGCCCTCTCGAAAGACTATCGATATTGTAGTTTCTGTTCGAGATTGCAATATAGTTTTCTAGTTAGGTTCTTGTATTTGGGATCCTAACAAAATCCTTCATCCAACTAATCAGTTAAGATTGATCGATTTCGCAGGTATTTTGGGCAGCACCGATGACCCATTTGGATGACACTATATTTGCAGACCCACATAAGTTTGAACCGAACCGATTTGACAAACAAACATTGATTCCACCCTTATGCTTCATTGCATTTGGTGGGGGACCAAGAATTTGCCCGGGCTCTGAGTTTGCCAAGCTTGAAACTCTTATCACTATCCACTATTTGATCACTCAATTCACATGGAAGCTTTGTTCAGAAGAATTCTTAACCAGAGATCCCACATTGATGCCCAACAAAGGATTGCCCATCCAAATTTATCCAAAAGAAACTTCACCTGCCATATAGCAACTTTTTATACTCATGGAACAACTTTCCTAATAATAGAGGGTTACTCGATCCTCTTGCTTAGATATATGGTCTTGTATAAACTCAAGTAGTCGGATGGTAGATAGGTTTACTCCAACATATCTAATGTAATATTCTCCGTATGCATAATCTCGTTTATATATATATATATGTAATTTTTCACAGTAGAGTCTAAATCTTTACAAGTTTCAAACAAGAAGGACTAAATTCTAAAATATTAAAGTTCAGAGATCAAATCGAATTACAAATTTTTAACTATATCGATTAAATCATTCCATTTTAAAGTTAAGGAACTCCATCATTACTCTATAATAGTATAGAGAACAAACGTATTTTTTAACCCGACATCTATCACAAGRCCCTTTTAGCCCTTTTCTCTATGTCCTCTGTGTAGAACATTCTCTTTTCTGTCTCTTTAAGGACCCTAACTTGGGAGAAGAATTCAAGATCCTATTATTAAGTGTTTTGTCTGTATTAACATCTTCCAATCTAATTATAGGAAGCAAAAGTACAAATGTTTAGTGGATTACTTGCATAACACTTAGCATTTTGTCTTTGTGGAGGTATTATTATTTCATTTCATCGTTTACATTAAGATTTAAATAATCATAAAGTTGTTAGAATCAATAATGCAAGCTGACTTTACATATAAACTATTAAAAGTCAATATTAATATAAAAAAAATGCACCACCAAACAAAGTTCTGCTTTTATATTGGAATATACCTAGCATATAGAGTTGGTGCAGGCATTATGGTGTCTTCTAGCATTTTTTCTTTGATATTTTAAAATAATAAATCAAGAAATATAGACAGAGACCAATAGAACATCTTAAATTACAATCCCCCACTATGTATGTTTAAAAAAACATTAGAAAATCATTCAAAATGGTCAAAATAACAAAAACTCTTCATTTATTGACGTGTATAAATAGATTTCACCTTTAACCAATTAAACTTATGAAAAAAAGACAAATAAAACATAGTTTCAACCGCACTGATCCAATTTCAATTATAAACACTATGTAACGTTGAGACATTCTTGCTTCAAGTCAATCTACTAACCTAAAAGATGTAGAATTATATCCATATTTTGAAGTAATAAAGTTTTCCTGATTTCTAGCTCCAAGGGTCAGTC